CCCACTGAGCTTACATAATAATATCTAATATCAAGATCAAGTATATCACAAAATATTGGCAATCTGAGAACTTGTATTGGAATCCACGAATTTTTCCTTTCCTTAGTTGATGTAACTGTTTTTATAATAAGTCAGTGAATTAAATTTTGTTATGTCACACAAATATTGCGCACAACGTGGGGCTCGAGTTTAATTGTTGAAAAATTTGTGGTTATATTTTTGACGGTCGTAAGCTATTTTTCCAAAAAAAAAACCTCCTCAAATTCCTTTCAAATATGATGAATGTTTTTATATCCGCGGCAGCGCGTTCATGATAAAAACGATTCTATCGATCTTCAGGTATATTGAGACAAAAAAAAGGCAAGAATATTTATTCGTGAAATTGCATGTGTTTGCCTAGGTCGCTGAGATTCAGATTTCGTTGTACTTTTCATACTGTTAATTTTATTAGGAGTGAATCACAACTCTTCAGTGCCGATGCATGAAAATATATACAGGTTGTCCCACTATCTGGCACTTTGTAACATTGATCGAGATATTTCAACAAATCACCGTCCCTATATTTCTGATACATACCTAACCATCAGAAATATATTATACTGTGTGGATTATTGAATTGTGAGAGATAAAAATTTTTTTTTGGTATCAAAAAAAAATGTCTGTTGATTATTATAATAAAGATCCTCATCATCTGAGAGTGCATGAGTTGAATTATGAATTAGCTCTTCGTGGAGTGAACACTGATAGAGTGGAGGTAGATCTAAAAAGAAAATTTCTTCGTAGGGAACTTAAAAAGGATCAAGCTCGTGCTGAAGTTGAACATGTTGTTAGTGACTATGTGCATGAATTTGAAAAAATGGAAATTGATGAAAGCATAAAGTCTATCACGGACTTGGTGAATGATTTTGATGGGGTGAATGAAGAATTATCAAAACGTATTCGTAGCAGGATAAATCACGTTCTTGGTAGGCTGGCTAGGATACCAGTGGATATCAGCGAAGCAGTGTCCAATTATAGGGGTGATAATACAGTGATTGTTTCTGCCTTAGAGGAAGAATTGAATTATATAATCGAACGTTTGAAGCGCGGTGCTGACTTGAGACCTAATTGCAGTCTTCAGGCACCATCAGCTGACGAAAAATCGGTCGCTGTTTATAAATGGCCAGTAAAATTTAATGGGAAATCAAATAGCGCGTCTCTCAATTCGTTTTCAAGTAGGGTCGAGGAACCCAGGGTTGCAAGAAAATGTTTCAGAAAAGGTTTATATGAAGCAGCCTCTGATCTTTTTGGAGATGCTGCATAAGAATGGTTCAGAGCGCAGCTGCGACAGAATCGTTTCGATTCATGGGAAAGTCTAGTAGTAGCACTCAAAAAAGATTCTTTACCATGAATGAATGAATGAATGAGTGTTTATTTACAAGAAGCATTTTTACAAAAAATGGGTAACATCCTGTGGCCTATGTCTAGGTGATATAATGAAACCCAACTCAATTGACATGAAAAGACAGTAAATAAACAGAAGGGGATACCCGACTAAGTTCATTGAAGAACTTGTCTCCGGGAGATCACAATCAATTAATTTTCACTATCTGGAATGCGTCTACTTTATGTTATTCTAGCCAAATGAAGTTACCTGTAGAGTTATACAAACCAAAGTGAAAGTATCCTACAAAACTAGGTAGACTTCAATACTTGAAAAGAGTTTTTTTTTTTTTTTTTTTTTTTTTTTCCTATATACTATATGCGAATACACACATAATTTTGAATTTATAATACATATATGTATGGGTAAAAACAATGAATACTCAAGAAAAGAACTGAAAAATAAGCATTTTTTATGAGATTTCGAGTATGCCTTCTTTCTAAATCTAAATCGGATCAATAGCATACGAAAAGTACTTTCTATCCTTGAAGTAAATCCACTTTTTGAGCTTGTTTCGAAAAAGTCTGTTGGATATCTCATTTTTCAAGTCATTTGGTAATTTATTATAAAGTTTAGATCCTATAAAGCAAAAGCTCCGTTGACCGATTGCTTTATGAGTAGCAGGGATATATAAAGCTGCTGCAGCATTCTGTCTCGTGCTATAGTTATGTAGTAAATTGTTTCTATATTGACTGTTAGAGTATAGAAAAGAAATTGATTTGAAACAAAATAGTTGTCGAACGTCCATAACCTTCGCATCCATGAATAGTTGGTCTGAAGAATATTTGCGAGTTTTTTTTAGTATAATTTTCAGAATCCACTTTTGAATAGTATTGATTGAATGTAAATAATTATTTCTAATTCCTCCCCAACCAATTATACCATATTGTAAAATGGAATCAACGAAGGCAATATATAATATTTTCAGTTCAGTGAACGTTAAAAATTCAACTAGCTGTTTGAATCTATAAATCAGACCCCTCAGCTTATTAACTATGTTACGGGCCTGAATATCCCACCTCAGAAATGAGTCCATATGGATGCCAAGGTATTTTACCGTTTGAACAATTTCAAGGGTATGGTTTCCAACAATGATGCTTCTATAATCCGGTAGAGATGGTTTATATGAGGTGAATGGTATAATTTTTGTTTTTGTGGCATTAACTGTCAATTTATTCGCATCAAACCAATCGAAAATCTTTCGAATGTCATCTGTAGCAGTTTGTTCAATTTCCGCCCAAGAGTCGCCTACATAGACAATTGCAGTATCATCAGCGAAAGATAGTATAATGCCTGCAGTACTTAGTTTAAGTAGATCATTCAAGTAAATCAAAAATAGAATTGGACCAAGAACGGTGCCTTGTGGGACTCCGAAAGTTACAGATTCCTCATCACTGTAAATATTATCAATTTTGACAACGTGTTTCCGGCCACTGAGATAACTAGAGAAAAGGTTCAAAGCAACACCTCGTATTCCTTGGCGTTCAAGTTTATCTAGCAAAAGCTTATGACAAACCGTATCAAAGGCTTTTGCCAGATCAACAAACACACCCAAACATGGTTTTTTGTTATCAACTGCTGTATATATGATCGATGTTATCTTAGCAATAGCATCCTGCGTTGATTTACCTTCCTGAAATCCAAATTAATGGTGGTGTAAAATTTTGTTCTTGCTAATGAAATTTACTAGACGTTTTTTGATAACTCTCTCGAATACTTCAGCTACCGTTGGTATTAGAGAGATAGGTCTATAGTTGCAAAATTGATATTTTCCGCCAGATTTATAAATGGGTTTGATAACGGCCTTTTTGAAATGATTCGGGACTTGGCCTTTATTAATCATCAAATTAATGATATAAGATAAAGGTTTTGAAATATAATAATTAGCTATTTTTAGAATCTCATTAGTTATTCCATCAAATCCAGTAGCTTTCTTGTCCTTCAGCTCTCGAATAAGTGATTCAATTTCAAGGTGATCAGTTGGTTTCAGAAATATTGTCGTTGTTAACCTAGCATTATTTGTATCTTTTTTATTATTTTGTGGAATCGCATCCGCCATCTTTGCCCCTATCGAAGAATAATACTGGTTGAAGTGATTCGCAATTTGCTGTTTATCAGTTATCTCAACTCCATTATCTAATTTCATTTTATTAATAGGACTACTCACGTTAGATTTAGTACAGAATTCTTTTATGACATTCCAAAGATTTTTTGTCGAAGACCTATTTTTTTCGATTTTATTTTTGAGGTAATCATGTTTAGTTTTTTTTTAATAACGATGTGAGTTTATTTTTGTAATTGTTGTATATAGATTTTTTATATAAATTTGAGGGATCTCTCAGAAAATTCTGATGCAACTTATCCCTTTTGTCTATCGATGTAATTAGACCTCTAGTGATCCATGGTTTCTTTTTCTTTGAAGGTCTTATTCTCCTGGTGTTTGTAGCTTTTTGTATGATTTCTTTCAGAATTCTCATAAAATCATCAGTTGCCGAATTCACGTCCTCTAATCTATAGACCGTGCTCCAACTTTCCATTTTGATCATATTCAGCAATTTTGTTTCGTCTAAATTATTGAGGGTTACATAATCCTCATTAGGTTTGTTTTTCAGGTATTCACATTTCACGACTGTAGAGAAATGATCAGTTATGTTCGTTTTAACAATGGCTGGGTGAATGGATTCACTAATTGTTTCTGTACTACTTTTCAGGAATATATGATCAAGGCATGAACTCGACGAAGCTGTAACTCGGGTTGGATTATTAATCAGTGATTTGAATCCGTTTAGAGACATAACATTTAGGTAGTCGTCAACATCTTCATTTTCATGCTCCAAAATATTGATATTGATATCACCCAAGAAGAAGGTTAATTCGTTGTTCGCAAAACTTCTCTCAACAAAGAGTTCATAAAGGTTTGAATTAAAATTTTCAACATTAGTACAAGGAGGTCTATATACAACAATGGCACAAATTTTTATTTTTCCGCATATCATGTTTACTATGACTCCATTTACCTCGCCAATTTTTATGAATTCATGGCACTCGTAACAATTTTCTCGGACATATATCAATATTCCGTCATTTTGATTGATTCGTTCACTGTTATGGATCGTTCTGTAACCACAAATATTGAGTGACTCAGGATCATTTACTTTCCAGGTTTCCGTTAAGGCAATTAGACTGAACGCGTTCTGGACTTCTGATAAATAGAGTTGTAATTCATCAAAATGTTTAGTAACACTCCGTATATTATTGTGAAAAATTGAGAAACAATCACAGTTATCGAAAGTTTGTTTGAAACACTCTAAGTTTGTTATTTCTCTCGTGATTATCGGTTCGTTTTCGTACTCGAGTATGAATTGATCCATTTTAGACTAATATATACAAAAATAGAATGATACAAATGATAGTAAATGATTTTTTTTTTTTTTTTTTTTTTTATATATTTGTATATACTTTAGACAAAACGAAATGATTTAATTATTGGTGAATGAGGAAACATTATTTTATTCTAATTTCGTTGAATGTACAGAGGAAGTAATTTAGTGAGTGATAGACTAACCTAAACATCCTGTTAGTCCATATTTTTCGTCTCCCTGCTAACGCTTCTAGTGAATCTTTTCGGCATTCCCTCCTGGGGACTCAGAACGTTTTTTCTTTTAGATGACAAGTCGGCAGAGTTTCCAGAGGTTTCGATGTTATTCAATGTTCTATCGACTTCTTTTGTAAGATCTTCGTACTTGTATGAGACACCGTTGATAATAAGTTTATTTTTCAATAAAGTAGTTTCACATTTGTTTCCTTTCGCTTCCTTATAGTACTTGTATAATACTTTTTTTTCCTCTCTTTCTTTTGTTGTTAGGTCATGACTAACTGCGATATCGGTCCCCTTCAATTTACCACAGTTTCTAAGGATTTCTTGTTTTTTGATGTTTCGAACTAGTTCTAAAATTATAGGCCTTTTTGCACTAGTATTTCTTTTTCCAATTCTATAGGTATTATTTATATCCGTATCTTCTAGCCTTATATTCAGTTTGTCTTGCAAAGTTTGTTTTACGATATTTGTAGTTTCTGCATCATCCTTTTCTTCAATGCCAAAAATCACCAAATTGTTATTTTTCAGCTTTCTTTTAGCTGTTTCAACCTCCACTTTCAGTTCCTTATTTTCACTTTCTAATAGTTCTAATTTCACCTCTATATCATGGACAGTCTTAGTAACTTTCTGTAAATCGTTCTTGATGGTTTTAATGTCTTCAATTATTTGATTGTTCTGTTGGTAAATCGATTTTAGTAAAGATTTTGTGTCTTCATCCATAACGTGCTGGTAGGAGCAGATATACTTCTGGATTCCGAAGTCTGGCAACTAGGTTCAGCTAATACACTCCAACAATTCTGGCGATCCCCGGTCCAAAGGTCAATATTCACTCTTTGGTGGAAGTATACTTTCTTGTGTGATATTGTCGTGGTTGAGCTATTCAAGTTTTTTACTCACAGTACTGTTTATTATGTTCAGCTAGGCACATATCATGTAGCAGTAACAATTAATTCACTTTAATTCCGACTGTTAATTACTATTTATTCCGAGAGCTTATTATTATAAACAATTGCAGACAGTGTTGCCAAATGTGCACTCCGTGATGGCTATGATGAAGAACTACGGAGGCAGATTGAACGGCGCACTCAACATGAAGAAGAACCGGTTATCATCTATATTTCTATAATGGAGAACCTATTCGACTGTTTGTCTGATAAACCGTCGGATGACCGAAAACTGAGGATACTTATGTCTAGAGTATTGCCCAGATATCACTCCCATTTGTCACTTCAAGACATAAAACGTATTAGTAGGTTAGGCGAAATTTGTAGGGCATTAGAGGAATCAGAGAGGATGCAGAAGAATTTTAGGCCGCCTCCTAGACGAAATATTGCTAGCTTGGAACCTGGTTTAGGATATTTCCCTCTCGATGATAGTCCATCCACATCTTCCCCTTCGGGTCGTTGTCAAAGTTGTAGGGGTTGTCAAGGTTACCTGGATAGGAAGGAAAGTTCTAGTTATGTCCCTAGGTCAAATTTTGAACGCCGGTCTCATCAAGTCTCAGCTGTACACTGTTGGAGTTGTAATGAGGTAGGTCATCTAAAACGTGATTGTAAAAAATCAGTTATGGCATCATCACAAAATCAAAAGCGGAAATTGATGTGCTATGGTTGTGGGCTGAAAGATGTGATCAGACCCAACTGTCCTCGATGTAAAAAAAACTGATTGGTGTAGTACGACACCTGGACCGCCGTAACTCCGATAAAAGTTTTACCCCGAAGGTCCTGAAATTATTTGATGACGAGTGGAATAAATGGTTGGCAAATGTTGGGAACTTTTACAGTTCATACAAGTTAAATGAGTTGAATAGTGTTGGTCAAGTGGCCAAGGAGAATAATGGCATTTTTGTAGAAAAAGAGAATGATAACCGTCCGTATGTTTCAATACAGATTTTTGGCATTGTTCGGATACGAATATTAGGACAGTGGATGGTACTTGTCAGCGTACCGAAGGCTTTGTGGAAATTCCTATTCAATTGGACAATTTGGTCAAGGTTATAAAAATGTTGGTGGTGCCCTTGCTGTCGCACAATATCATATTGGGAGCAGATGTTTGCAAGGCCTTTGATATAACTGAAAAGTTTGGTACAAGCTCCTATTGTGTGGGAAACAAGGACCTGGAGACAACATCTGCGGTTGATTGTGACTTATTTTTATGCGCAATCAATAAAATTTGTAGTAAGTCTGACTTAACCGCGGAAGAGTCCGAAATGATCGAGGAAGTAATAGATAACTTTCGTACTCTATCTTCTTTCACACTCGGTAAAACAAAGAATTGCGTTCATAAAATTGATACTGTCAATGTTGAGCCTATCAAGCAAAGACATCATGTGATGTCACCATATAAATTGAAAGAGTTGAACAATGAACTGGACAAGATGTTAGAGTTACAAGTGGTGAGGCCATCTTTGAGCCCTTGGGCTAGTCCAGTATTAATAGTTGAGAAAGCTAATGGAGATCCGCGATTCTGTTTTGATGGCAGAAAGTTGAACTCTGTTACAAAAAAATGCGCCTACCCCCTTTCCATTGTGGACCATATTCTGAGTAAGTTATCAGGGGCAAAGTTTATCAGCAGTATTGATCTCAAATCGGCTTTTTGGCAAATTCCCTTGGACCCGGAGTCCTGTGAGAGAACGGCGTTTGTTGTACCCGGGCGTGGGTTATTCGAATTCGTGGTGATGCCTTACGGACTCTGTAATGCAGCTCAAACGCTCCAAAGGCTGATGGACTCTATTTTGGGACCGGACTTAGACCCGTTCGTTTTTGTCTACCTCGACGACGTGATCATTGCAACACCCAGCTTCGAGAAACATTTGGAAATTTTGAAACTTGTTTATTCTAGGTTGAAAGATTCGAATTCAACAATCGACATTGATAAGTGTTCGTTTTGTATGCCGAGCTTAAAATACCTTGGTTTCGTGGAAGATCGCGAAGGTTTGCGAACGGATCCAGGAAAAGTTAAAGCCATGTTGGAGTACCCCAAACCCAAAACGGCAACTGAGGTTAAAGGGTTCATTGGCATGTGCAGCTGGTATAGAAGATTTGTAAAAGATCATTCTACCATTACTGCTCCTATAAATGCAATTCTGAAAGGAAAAAAAAATCTCAGGGGATCGAGTGAACCGAAGAAGCGGACAGGGCTTTTCATGATTTGAAGCAGGCCCTAGTTTCGGCACCCATATTAGCATCACCAGACTTCGAGAAGCCATTTTGTATTCAATGTGATGCTTCGAATGTTGGTCTCGGAGCAGTACTGACACAAAAGGATGGAGAGAAAGAAGTGGTCATAGCTTTTGCATCTAGGTTATTGACGGAGGCCGAAAAAAAATTCACAGTCACAGAGAAGGAGTGTTGTGGTGTTTTGTTTGGTGTTATAAAATTCGGACCCTACATAGATAAGGTACATTTTTCTGTTTTGACTGATCATAGCTCCGTCTTGTGGCTTAGTCACCTCAAGAATCCAACTGGAAGGCTGGCGAGATGAGCCATGCGCTTGAGTCAGTACGACATGGAAATTATTCATAGGAAGGGTTCTTTGAATGTTGTCCCAGACGCCCTTTCACGAGCACCACAGGAGGTATGTGTCATAGATGTTCAACAGCCGGACATCGAAGCTGACTCCTGGTATTCTCGGATGGTCATTAACTTTCCCCAAAACCCTGAAAACTGCTCGGACTGGAAAGTGGTGGAAGGTTTACTCTATAAACACGTCCCATTTGGGTTCGGTTTGCGTACAAACTTCAGCGACTGGAAGTTGGTCATACCTAAGGGTAAGAGATCATCGGTTTTTCAATCTTACCATGAAGTTCCTATGGCTGCCCATTTAGGGGTGTACAAAACAATGCACAGAATACGTGAACTCTATTACTGGCTTCGTATGCTTCAAGACATTCGAAAGTTAGTCAAGGGGTGTAGAATTTGTGCTGCACAAAAAGTTAATTCAACGGCTCGACCTGGATATATGGGTCGTCCCAAAAGAGTGAGTTTTCCTTGGCAATACGTTTCAGTTGATATTTTGGGTCCCCTTCCGAGGACAAAAAATGAAAATTCTTACATTCTAGTGGTTTCCGACTATTTCCAGAAATACTGTTTAATACACCCTATGAGACAAGCGAAAGCCGCCTCAATTGTTAAATTCGTAGAAGAACAAGTGTTCTTGGTATTTGAAGTTCCCCGAATAATAGCGTGTGATAATGGTGTTCAATTTACATCTAATGCATTCAAAGATTTGTCTCAGAGGTATGGAGTGAAAATTCACTATAATGCAAATATTCATGCTCAGACAAATGCAGTGGAGCGTATAAACCGTGTTTTAGAAACCGCAATCAGGTCATACATAGACGAATCAGATCAATGAACTTGGGATAAGGAACTGCAGAAAATTGCATTTGCACTTAGGACCGCTGTTCATGAAGCGACTGGCTATTCCCCATCCTTTTTGAACTTTGGACGTTATGTACCAGCAGATGGAGAGTATTATGGTCGACTAGAATTGAATGAGATTATTAGTTTGAGTGATTTGAATCGTGCAGAGTATGGTTCAGATATAGACAAATTTCCTCAGATATATTTAGAAGTCCGCAAAAAATTGGCAGAAGCTTATAAAAAGAACTCTCAGCAATACAACTTGCGTAAAAGGCCAGCTGACATCTATCACGTAGGTGAAAATGTGTGGAAAAAAAAATTCGTTTTGTCGAACAAAGCTGAACATTTTGCCGCTAAGTTGGCGCCTAAGTTTATACTTTGTACGGTAAAGAAAGTAGTATCAAAATTAGTGTATGATTTGGTGGGGCCGAATGGAAAAAACATTGGCAAATTTCACGTGAAGGACCTGAAGCCTTACACAGGTCCAACGGTAGATTCTTGAGATGAGTGTGAGTGTGAATGTGGCAACGAATGGCGTATGAATCATGTGTGAATGGGGTGTGTGTACCGTATTTGAAAATTTCGTGAAAAAGATTTGTCTCTGCACAATCATAACTGTATATTTCTTTGTTATAAGTCTCGGGACATGTAGAGAATATATATTTCAATTGTGCGTTACCCCGATAGTTGTGACCTATTAGGTTACCTCGTATATTCGTGTTCTAGTTTAGGTAGGTAAGTAATGTAAATGTATGTTTATATTTGAAAAATAAAAATATTTCACTTCATGAAATATATATATAGGCAACTAACAATATTCGATGCGCGAGAAATTGCTCGAGGCTACGGAGTGGAGCGGGGTCGAGAGGTAGTACCCACTGTCAATAGTCAACACGTTGACGGCAGGTGATATTGTGATTTTCTGGAAAGCCTAATAAGACCTGAGGTAATTAACTAATTTCTAACGTTACTTCAACAGACTGCCTTCAATCATCACTATTTTTCCGCGAACGATGTGCAAACACAATTTCATTCCAGGCAAGAAAATAGATTCACCGAGGTTAGGCACGTGGTGAAGATCACGGTTCTCAATCAATTACCTAACGTGAAGCAAAACGCGATACCTGACTGAATTCGGTATTGTCCATTGTTGGTCAACAAATATAATTGTTACGGCTCTGGCTATTGCGTAACCGCTGGAATACGTCTCACCCGCTATTGCAGTACGCGCCGACCTACACCGCCACTCCGTATCTGCGAGTTTTTGTGACCAGGAAAGGCATGCAATTTCCAGGACTTAGAAAATGGGTATCTATGAAAAGCTAGTAAGAGGTACATGAATATTTTTCCGGAATTGCGAGTGAGTCCAACTTATCGTCCTCAGGAGATGCTGATAA